TTTGCACCAAATTTCACAATCTGATTTTCTGCAGTTATCAGATTATTAAGTGTAAACATGCTGAACCAGTTACTGACACAATCTGATTTTCTGTAGATATCAGATTATTAAGTGTAAACATGCTGAACCAGTTACTGACACAATCTGATTTTCTGCAGTTCAGTTATCAGATTATTAAGTGTAAACACGTTGAACCAGTTACTGACACAATCTGATTTTCTGTAGATATCAGATTATTAAGTGTAAACATGCTGAACCAGTTACTGACACAATCTGATTTTCTGCAGTTCAGTTATCAGATTATTAAGTGTAAACACGTTGAACCAGTTACTGACACAATCTGATTATCTGCAGTTATCAGATTATTAAATGTAAACACGCTGAACCAGTTACTGGTTACTGACACAATCTGATTATCTGCAGTTATCAGATTATTAAGTGTAAACACGCTGAACCAGTTACTGACACAATCTGATTATCTGCAGTTATCAGATTATTAAGTGTAAACACGCTGAACCAGTTACTGACACAATCTGATTATCTGCAGTTATCAGATTATTAAGTGTGAACATGCTGAACCAGTTACTAACACAATCTGATTTTCTGCACAATCAGATTATTAAGTGTAAACACACTGAAGCAGTTACAGACACAATCTGATTATCTGCAGTTATCAGATTATAAGTGCACACTGAGCAGTATGAACAATCTGATTATCTGCAGTTATCAGATTATTAAGTGTAAACATGCTGAACCAGTTACTAACACAATCTGATTTTCTGCAGTTATCAGATTTTTAAGTCTAAACACACTGAAGCAGTTACTGACACAATCTGATTTTCTGCAGTTATCAGATTTTTAAGTCTAAACACACTGAAGCAGTTACTGACACAATCTGATTTTCGGCACAATCAGATCATTAAGTGCATGTAAATTCACTCAGTGGCACTACAATGTTTAATCACGTCAGTGTTTGAGCCTTAATATCATGTTCACTGTAGAAAAACATCAAAACATCGGTCAACAAAATCGCCACACAGTTTATTGGCTCGTCTAACGTTAGCTAACTAGCTGACACCACCAGTTTTTTATTTTATGTATAGAAAACATCATATTTTCTCTTCCATTCATAGACAGCTTTTAACCTTCTTTAAATTCATTTGCCCATCCAGCGCTAAGCAGCATTAGCAGCCACTTTAGTGTAGCCTTTATGCTAACTCCTCTCTGAAAATGAAAATCACTAAAAGAGAGACGTCTTTCATGGAAACATGAGGTAAATAGTTTCATAGACACAAAAATGTCCAAGTCCTCTGCATTCTTATACAGAAACACTGCCACTACTGTAATGTTCTCCCCACTGTGACGCCTTTTGCTGCATCAGAAAGGCTCTATTAGTGCAGTTTGGGGAAAGGAGCGCCCTCATGTGGTCAAACTCTGTCCTGCATGCTTCCACAAAGCAAGAGTTTTAGTCAAATGATTCACAGTTTTAAAAAAAGTGTGTGTGTGTGTGTGTGTGTGTGTGGTGTGTGAGTGTGGTGTGTGTGTGTGAGTGTGTGTGTGTGAGTGTGTGTGTGTGTGTGTGTGTGTGTGTGTTCAGTTAATCTGTCAGTGGCCGTAGGGAGATGTCAGACTGTGTTGGGGGTTAACTGTGTGTGATCTCTGCAGGGGTCCGGCCTTTTCTCTGATTATACACTGTAGGGGGGAACATATACATGAACACACACGCACACACACACACACACACACACACACACACACACAGGGAACGGAAATTAAAACACACGGTGCCTTAATTACTATAAATCCTGATACTCTGTTGTAATGATTTTATTAGTGTAACTTTCTTTTCATTGTCTTTAATGTGAGGTTGGTCCAGTGCTGGAGTGGGTAATTGGGAGAGCTGGGAGAGTTCCTGGTGGGCTGGTACTGTTTTGGGCTGGTTACTGTGAGCTAATCTATGAACTCACAGACACACAAGACAAACTACAAATGTTACATGCAAGTGTTCACCAATCAATAACATTAAAACCTTGTTTCTACACTCGGTCCACTCTATCAGCTCCACTGACCATATAGATTCACTCTGTAGTTCTACAGTTACAGACTGTAGTCCATCTGTTTCTCTGCATACTTTGTTACCCTGTTCTTCAGTGGTCAGGACCCCCATGGACCCTCACAGGGCAGGTACTATTTGGGTGGTGGATCATTCTCAGCACTGCAGTAACACTGATGTGGTGGTGGTGTGTTAGTGTGTGTTGCGCTGGTACGAGTGGATCAGACACAGCAGTGCTGCTGGAGTCTTTAAACACCTCAGTGTCACTGTTGGACTGAAAACCAGCCAACAGCGTCCTGTGGGCAGCGTCCTGTGACCACAGATGAGCTATCGTCTCTGACTTTACATCTACAAGGTGGACTGACAAGGTAGGAGTGTCTAATAGAGTGGACAGTGAGTGGACACAGTGTTTAAAAGCTTTTGGTGCTATGTCAAAGCATCTGCATTTTTGATGTTTTTCAGTTTTTGACATAATTTGAAAATGCCTGTTGCCCTTTACGTTGTGTGTAAATTTCATGATGAATGGACCAAAAGAAACAGCCCAAAATGACCTGGTAAAAAGTCTGGTTCCATTGACTTACATTAAAAGTAAAGTATGTTTTTTGCTTCTCCTGTAAAGTCACCATTTTGGAGACATAAGGTTTTCTTCTGACAACAGCGATATTAAAAAACATACACAGCACGTTCTCCATCGATCTAAAGAACTATTTCACCAAGCAAAGAAAAGGTTCTGTTTATAAATGCTTTCCACTGTTAAAGTGTTTAAAACTCCACCCCTCACGAGCAGCTGGATTCAGACTCGTGGCTGCTCCAGTATGTGCGTGAGCTGTTTGTGATTAGAGGCAGGAAGTATCAGCTGCGTGTGGCGATGAGACGACGTGGGGAGCGAGGGAACGTTTCCTGCATGATTAGACTGGAACCATGAATCTGTAAAAGAACGACAACTGACAGGATTTTTTTGCGCTCCATGCAGTGGACAGTGCTGCTCGGTAATAGTTTATGATGCATTTACTAGTGTTAGTTTATTAGTAGCATCATATATTTATTAGTTTTAAAGATTTTGGCCTTAAAATATGTTCATGGTGGAGGGATACATGACATGCAGGGCGCTGTGAGGCAAAATAGTCCCCGAAGAAAACTTATTATTTCAGATTTTCTCACTCACTCCTCTCTCTTTCTGTCTCTCCCTCTCTATCTATCAATTCTCTCTCTTTCTCTCTCTCTCTATTTCTGTCTCTATCTCTCTCTCTCTCCCTCTCTCTCTCTCTCTCTCTCTCTCTCTCTCAGCAGAGCAGCTGTGATTCTCTCTCTGGTTGAAGCAGTTCTGGGTGGCCTGTTAAAACAGTGTCAGCTGAAAAACACACTTTAAAAGCTTGTAAAGTCATTTTCTGCTCAGAGTTAAAACAGCCGAGTCGATATTAGTTCTACCTTTAATGAAGGGTCTCTCAACCACTGGGCCACGGACCAAAAGTGAGCTACATAGCACCTTTAGGTGGTCCTTTGGCCAATACTGAGGGGGTTGGGGCAGAGGTCAGTAGTGGGCCAGTGATGGCACTTAAAAATCAATGAAAGAATAACTGGCATAACAATTAATAATACATTGAAAAGGTTTTCAGACTATAAACAGTGTTAATGGGAAATTCAAGTCCTGTAAAAATGACACACCAGGGCAGAAACAAACACACCAACCGTCTCATCCCCCTTAATTCTGCTTGATTTCTGGAATAAAACAAGCCTATGTCAGCCTAATCTGTTGATATCTTATGTTCACTGACTTGCAGTGCTTGGCACCCAAAAATAACCTGTGCTAATAAATGTCCCACATTTTTTAAGCTTTTTTTTTAAGAGTTTTTAAAGATTTTTTTAAGAGTTTTGGGCCTTTTGGGCCGACATGCTTTCAAATAATAAACGAGAGGGGGAGCTTGAGGCAGAAAAGGTGGAGAGCCCCTGCTTTGGCATCCCTTCCATCTGAAAGTGATGGTCTGTATAAACAGTATTTCTAATGTAATGAGGCAGAAAAGTCCAGTGACAGATCGCACAGTTCATAAAAGATCAATAGAGAAATAAAATGCATATTCTTACAAATTAACTTGCTTATTATCAACAACTCATACGACCTCCTCTTTTCATAATTACTACTAATAATAATCAGAACATTGAGTCTTGGTACTTTTCAGCCAGCGAGGAAATTCTATGAAGCTCTGCAGCCACCTAGTGGACAGATTTGTACATACAGGAAGACACAACTGCTAAAGCTTTCACACCAAAGCTGTCCTTACAGGGGACTTCCACCAATGCTTCAAAATTTAAACATAATCCAGTGTGTGAGGTGTAAACAGAGAGATTCAGAGCGGTTTGGTGTGAAATGGTTCAGATGTCTTTACAGTGGTGGTGATAGGAACCAGGGGTCGCCATGACTACAACACAAATATAGACATTTTATTGACCATCCAGAACCACCAGTGAACCTACACGAGTCTTCTGAGTTTATATGGAATGTTGATGATGGAAAATAGTGGAAAATCTGAAATAATAAGTTTTCTTTGGGAACTATTTTGCCTCACAGCGCCCTGCATGTATCCCTCCACCATGAATGGAGTTTTAGTTTTCTAAACTATCATAAAACAGTGTCTCAGTCATCAGGCAGTGAATTCATAACCATTTCATGTAGGAACTTTCTGTGAGGGAGCTTTTAGAGGTGGACGTCTGGTTCCTATCACCACCACTGTGTAAAATTCTGACTCTGTAAGCTTTGCTAGTTTATCTAGATTTACTTATGCAGAAATGTTGGAAAAAGTCCAAAAAAATAGACAAATTTACTGAAAGAAACATTATATTTAATATGCTTTTATCAATTGTATTTGATGATGTTCTTGCATATTGTGTATTGTGTATACAGCAACTAGATTAACATAAAGAGAAACTCTGGCCAGTTGTAAGTGACCCACAGTAGGGTGAGACTCTCAGCACTTGTAGAGAGTGTTGATCCTCAGGATGTTGATGGCGGACAGGTCCACTCTCTGTCCAATCTGCACTGCTGCATCAGGAATAGGAGTGATGGTGTCCCGCCCGTTGATGGAGAAAGCCGTTTTCCCATAGTGCATCACGGAGGAGTAGTCGTATGGGGTGTTGAGGTTGTTGGTGTTCTCCTTGTTGAAATTGTACTGCATTGCTGGCGAGATGTTTGCCCAGTTGATCCTCACGTAGCGGTCGCGGTCACTCCTGGTCTGCTCGTGGTAGAAACCCAGCGCGTGGTTCAGCTCGTGCTGGACGATGCCGTGGTACACGCAGCCGTTCCTGTTCAGGGAGACCACCTGCTGACCACCTGATCTGCCCACTGGAGAGTAGCACCTGAGAGGAAATGGAGAAGATTGTCCACATCACTGAAGTAAAGCTGTGGACAGTGAACTTAAAACAGAGTAAAGCTGATCTAAAAGCTCTTCAGATGGTTCAGCTGGTCTCACCCATCTCTGTTCTCAATGCTGAGGTAGTCAGTTTCAGTGCTTCTGGGAACAAAGCGGATGCAGGTTTTGCTGTGGAAGGTCATCATAGCGCTGGCAATTACATACCAGTCAAAGAATGCTGTAAAGGAAATGATCAATAAATAATCCGATAATAGCATTAATAAATCAGATAATGAGAAATGTAGAATGTGAAGAAGGAGCTTTTACTTACAGAAATCACTGCTCAGTGTGAAAGGAACCTGCACTAAGCCAGTTGAGGACTTCTTCCAGAAGCAGTTGTTGTTGGGGCAGAGCAGAGCGTTCCTGGTTCTGGGTAAGACTATGTCTCCCTCCACCAACAGTTCCCTGGATCCTTCACACACAGATGGAGATGGAAATTTGATTAGGAAAAGCAGAGTTTTGGAAAATGTAGTTCAGACATAAACAGTGATCATCTAGAATCAATATAATCAGCAGGTTGTCTGACCGTTGTTGGTTGTCAGAATGGTTTCTGTGATGTCCACATGCTGAGGCTCCATGAGAGGGACAGCCTGCGAGAGGCCGAGCAGCAGCAGGGCTAGAATGGAGAGAGAGGCTGTGGGCTCCATGTTGCTTCAGTGAGTGGAGATGATCTGGATGCTCCTTCACCGTAGCTCAGTGTCTGAACCCTGTCATACCTGCCTTTTATACACATGGACACTCATCGGTGTGGCTATCTGGGGATTAAAGCTGGACTCTAGTGTCCACTGTAATGTGTTTAAATAAAGGGAGGACCCTCTGAACACAAAGTACTGTCTACAAAACAGGATTTTGTTTGTATAGATTGAGAAATTCTCCTCTTGTTTTGCATCCATCACCTGTGGGGTTCTTCAAGGTTCAGCTTTAGGCCCTATTTTATTCACACATTTTATCTGCCTAAAACATATTTGAGGTAAAATAGTTTTAATCAGCATTAACTCTCTAGGACAGAGGATTCAGCAGTTTATCTGACTGTTGCTGGTCTATATGCTGGTTGTCATGTCCAAGGTGCTGAGTTAAAGTTTGTTTGGCCTCTGTTTCAAAAACACATTTATTAGTACATCTGTTGTTCTATAGTAGTTATTATCTCTTGTGTTCCTCAAGGTTCCATTTTAGGCCCTGTTATGTTGTTTCCATATAAACATATCAATTACATTAAATAAATCCAGTGTTTATAAATAATACACTGATGACGTACAGTAGTATCTTCTGTTAAAACTGGGTGATAATCTTTCAAATATTTATTGTGTCTAATGTATGTAACTAAAGGGAGGAGCCTCTGAACTCAAGATCTTCAAATTTCAATCTCCAAAAACTGATTTTTTTTTCTTGATTTTTAATAATGTATAAACAGTACAATAAGGTAATTCATTATGTTTAAAACTTGGTTTTAATTTACTTTTTTAATGAAATAATTATCTCTTATGGGGTATATTTCTGTTTAGATAGGCACTTCTGACTGAATATTAAACTTGTGTCATGGTAATCACATTTATTTAATAGAATTTTGCACATATATTTACTGATGTAATGTAATTCCTATTTCTATATAAAATAGCCACTGTCATGATAAAAGCAAAAAGAGTGGTGACAGGTATCTGTACAATTCTTGTTTTATTTCTTGCCACATTTTATATTTGATTTGAAATGTAAACCTGAGCCTAAATAACAGTGATGAATATTTAATCTATATTAGCAAGAGATTAAAAATAAATCACAACAATTATCAACAATCAACACCCTAGGCTTGGATAGTATTTTACCAAATTCTGCAAGTATGTTTAAATCAATCTGAAATAATTTTCTGATTGTCCTTGAAAGAAAAACAATTTCAATGTTACAAAATTAGTACAGAAAAGTACACGAATTATTTTTCTTAGATATTGAGAGCACTGTAGTTTTGAATTTAAGGGATAAACTCCGTCATGGAAAATAACATTTAGTTTATTATTCCTTGACTTTTATAATCACATTTTTGATTTGCATTCATGAAAACATTAAAACTTTGTTGTTGGTGGTGCAAATATTAAGGTATTCGGAACATAAATCACATGGTATTTTAGCAGAAGTTAAACACCTCTTTTAAAAATCAATAATAACCAAATTCAGGACAAAATTAAAAATGTTTATTATGGCTTAAGAGAAAAATACAAAAAAAATGTTTGCGCAAATTATAGTGGAAGTTCAAAATAATATAATTTTGTGAAACGCACAGAATATTTGTTTTTTTTTAGGATTTACACAAGAACAGTGAGACTATTATTTTAGAGAACTATTTAAGATATGTTACATTTTCATGTCTCTACTGCAACATCTGTTGCACATAAAGAGACTTATGTTTACGCTGTATTTATGAGGTTATATGGACAGACTGTTATATTAGAAATTTGAGCAATTCTGTAAATTCAAAAATTTATAAATTTCATTTCAAAATATCACCTACAATAAATCTGTTGTCTCAGTCTAGTGATGAACTGTAATACATATGTTTATATTAAACTCATCTTGAGTTATGTGTTGTATGAAATGTTATGTTTATTTTAAGAGTCAAGTTTTGAATTATTAATATGTTGGGAACAATAACCCAGTAGGCACTGTACATCGATATAATGTCAGCAAGACATTGGACTCTAACGCTGGACAGATGTTGAATTTTAGTTGGAAATGAAGATCAGGTTGACAGCCAACATTTACTTGACATCAGCCTGCAAAGTTGGACAGATGTTGAATTTCAGTTGAGAAAACCAAAATTAGATTGGCGTAAAATGTTAGACCAACTTTGAATTTTGTTTGGAAAGGAAAACTGGGTTGATCTCAAAACTCAACATTGGTTTGACATCAACCTTCAATGCTGGACAGATATTGAAGTTTTGTAAGAAATAAAAATCAGATATACATCAAAAAACAATGGTGGGCTGAAGTCAGCTCCAATGTTAAATAGGAAGACAGGAGAATTGGGCAGCTGTGATGCCCAAGGAGTGTTTGGGTGTCTTATTCAAAGGTGTGAGGAGTTCAGAATTGAGTCTTCAAGCCTGTAATTACTGCCACCAGAGCCAATGCTGCCCTGATCAAATCATGGCCACCCGATGGCCGTGGCTGAAACAACTGAGTTGAATAACCTTCAACCCCATCCAGCACATTTGGGATGAATTGGAATACCAACCTTGAGGCAGGCCTTCTCACCGAATATCAGTGCCTGAATTCACTCTTGGAGCTATATGGAAATCAGTGTCTATTCAAAAAACTAGTGGTAACCCTTTCCAGAAGAGAGGAAGCAATAAAAACACTCCACATGGGTTTGGAATAGAAATGTTTGGAATGCTGTTCAGAACTGATATACTTCTGGCCATGTAGTGTATGTGTAATGTGCATATAAGAATAATAATATTATATTTTTTCCAAGATTTTTGAACCTTGAGGAACCCCACAAGTGGTGGTTAACAAGGAAGAGAAGGGAAATTTGCAATGAACCTCAAGAAATTCTCAGAAATTTCTGTTTTCAAAGCTGTATTGTTAGTTTAGAGGTTCCTCCCTTTAGTCAAACACATTAAACAGTGGACACTAGAGTCCAGCTTTAATCCCCAGACAGCCACATCAATGAGTGTCCATGTGTATAAAAGGCAGGTACAACAGGATTCAGACACTGAGCTACGGTGAAGAAGCATCCAGTGAAGAAGCATACAGATCATCATGTCTCCCTCCTGTGTTTGCTGTGGACATCATTGCTATTATCTGACTGTTTATTGATCATTTCCTTTACAGCATCCTCTGACAGGTCTGTAATTGCCGGTGCCATGGCGACCTTCCTGCATCCGCTTTGTTCCCAGAAGCACTGAAACTGACTACCTCAGCATTGAGAACAGAGATGGGTGAGACCAGCTGAACCCTCTAAAGATCTCTTAGATCAGCTTTACTCCTGTTTTACGCTCACTGTCCATAGCTTTACTTCAGTGATGTGGACAATCTTCTCCATTTCCTCTCAGGTGCTACTCTTCAGTGGGCAGATCAGGTGGGAAGCAGGTGGTCTCCCTCAGCAAGAACGGCTGCGTGTACCACGGCATCGTCCAGCACGAGCTGAACCACGCGCTGGGTTTCTACCACGAGCAGACCAGGAGTGACCGCGACCGCTACGTGAGGATCAACTGGGTAAACATCAATCAGCAATGCAGTACAATTTCAACAAGGAGAACACCAACAACCTCAACACACCATACGACTACTCCTCCATGATGCACTATGGGAAAACCGCTTTGTCCATCAACGGGAAGGACACCATCACTCCTATTCCTAATGCAGCAGTGCAGATCGGACAGAGAGTGGACCTGTCCGCCATCGACATCCTGAGGATCAACTCTCTCTACAAGTGCTGAGATTCTCACCCTACTGTGGGTCACTTACCACTGGCCAGAGCTTCTCTTTATGTTAATCTAAATGTGCTGTAATGTCCTTAGAGATGTTGATTGTAAAGGCGATAAAAAAATGCTCTCATACATAATGTGGTTGAAAATCCGTAACAACATTCAATAAAGCAAATTAATTTCAGAGATATTTCGACTCCAATTTCAGTAACGTTACAATTAAATCTCTAAAATGTTGCAAAATGAAAGGATTAATGTTGAAATCCAACAATGGTAAAGTTTGAAATTAAACATTCAGATCAGTGTAGAATAGAGACCTGAAAAAAACAAAGTTTTGCTGCTATAAAAAACTGAATGATTAATGCTATTTGGCTGTTGGTGTTCCTCAAAGTTAAACTTTAGGCCCTAATTTATTTTTAATATACAACTCTAGTTGTATCCATAGTATGGACTATGGTCAAAAATGTAGATCGCTATTTAACTCTCCTATTAAAAGTCTGTATCTGAAATAAAAATTAATGAGATATGACCTAAATAATAAATAACAATAAAGAAAACAAGCCATAGTAATTTTAAGCATAGATCGCACCATTTCTACAGCGCTTTTCAAAGAAATCTTCATTTCAGTATTTTTTTAAATCTTGAAGATGATTTTTAGCACAAAAATGGCTTCACAAAGAATGCAGTGTAATTATAACAATATTTAATTTTTAATAGATTAGAAATTTTGAACAAATACTATAAACATTTACTATGAGCATCTCTGTGATGTATTTTTTGTGCCGCATTCAATGAGTAACAGACTTTAATTTGAATTACGTTATACTAAATTCCACTATAAATTGCAGGAGCACTTTCTTATTGGGTATTTTACATTTTTGATAGTGAAAGTTTCTTAATGTAACACTGAAAAAGATTATTCACTGTCAGAAAAAAGGTTTTTAACATCTTGCAAGTCACCATGTAAAATATCATTAGACAACCAAAATATATTCCAAACAATATTGTCTTCATTTGCCTATAAAAGCAAATGTGAGTATTAAAGCTAGTCCAGTATCTAATTATATGATTGCCCAGAATTGTGTTCATGCCTTGTGTTGAAAAATGAAACGCACTCAAAGTCTATGGAAATAAGTAATTTTCATACTTCCTTTAAAATTAAAAATGACAGTTCAAGGACAATTTATAAAGTTAATTCAGATTGATTTTAATAACTTGATTCACCCCTCAAA